TTTACATTATACAAAATTGGCATTATTAATTGGCTAATAAATTTTTATAGGATGTTTTCCAAAATGTAAGAATTAAATGAATCAAAAATTTGTAGTTAATAAGTTATAAGCATTTAAAGCTAAAATAAGTTGTTGCGTTTCTTTTGTCAGCCACTATAAATTTTTTGGATGATTTTTTTCTTTTGGTGACAATGTCTTTAGTTTGCATTTCATCTTCATCAGAAGGGACATCAGGTTTAGGACTTTTATAATCATTCATTTTAGTTGTTAGAGTTAATAATTATGAAATATTGTAAATATTAAATATAAGAATGACCAAATATTAAAATACATTTATATTTTATATTTTTTATTTTTTCCTTTATTATTTTTTCTATGTGTTGTAACTATTTTGAATTTAGCAGAAAATAAAGAATGACATAAGTCTAAAATTATAAATCATAAAGCTTTTTAATATATATATATGTATATATATAATATAGTAGTCATCATTATAAAACTTTTTTTACATTTATTTAAGATAAACCTTAATTAGTTATAAATTTTTTTATAATGTTATGAAAAATGAAAAAATGGACTATTTTATACAATATATTATGTATATATTATGTATCATAAATGGATATAAATAATAAATATGGGTTGATTACTAGAAAAATCAGGTTTTGGGAATTTTTTAGCAAAATTGAGATTTTTATTGCATTTTAGTTTTTGATGTTATTAGATTAAAATGTATTAAGCTCTAAATTTTAGTCAAAAATTTCTCAGAACCTGATTTTCCTAGAAACACTCCTATATCAGAATTGCTGATTGATAATCATGCAGGGCTAAGTCATGGAAAAAATCATAGAATAATAAAATAGGAAAATAAAATCACGCTTATATAATAATAGTTTAGTATTTTTATAAGTTTTGATTTGATTACTTAATCATGTTATTAATCGATAAAAAATATTACAGCATTAGGAAATTCTAAATTGCTTTGATGTATAAATAAAAAAAGTATAAAAGAGGGGTATTTATTTTAGTAATCAACTTTTTAGTGATTAACATTTTTTTTTCTTTGATTTATACAAGATGAAACAAATACATACCAAACAAACTTCTAAGAAAAAGATTGTTATTCAAAAACGCATTACATCAAAAAATACTAAAAGAAACAGTTCACCAATGAAAATATCAGAAATATGTTCTAATTTACAAAGTATCAATGAACTTTTATTATATAGTGATAGCAACAGTAGTAAAAATGTTTTAATAGACGAAAGGCAGAAACATTCAACTTTTGAAATTCCTGTAAAATTTCATAATTCTGAATCTGGTTTTACAATAACTTCAAGTACAATAAGCAATAATAGTCAAGAACCCGAATTTACAACATCTTCAAATACAATGAGCAATAGTGATCAATCAACATCACAACAAATAGAAAGAGTAAATGAGTTTACACAAATTATAATAGAGGATGAAATCAATTTCATACCAATGACTGAAAAATATGGTTCTTACTTTAAGAATTTTACAAAAATGTTATTTTTTATTTGAATTACAAAGCATAGTGTTCCTAATGAGTCGAGTCAAGTCGAGTTTTGAGTCAAAATTATCCTATATACCTTTAATTTAAATTACTTATTTATTATGTGTAACTAAAATTTACAATTATGCACAATCATGCGAGTCAAATATGCGAGTTTATGCGAGTCATTTTCGGAACTCTAACAAAGCATATGATCAGTAAATAAATGAATTTTAAAATATGTATGTCTTCACATAAACATTTTTTTTTTGAATTAACATAATATTAACTACAAAAGCATATGATGATTTTGTATGTATATTATAATATCCTAACTTCTGACCTGAGCATATAATCAAAAATGTACTACAACTAAGACTGCTGCGTAATTGGCTCCTACTTTAGATAATAAAGAGTCATAGTATTTCTATTAACAACATGAAAACTCTATCAACCTCAACTCCTTTTAAAGATGCTTATATTATATCTGTAACTGAACATATAAGAAGAGTTTTAAGTAATAAAAAATTACGATTACAGATGTATTTTAGACCTAGTATTGAAGCTGAAATAAAATCAGAGTTTAGCATAGTAGCATATAGCAAGAATCACCTCTTTTCGATCAATCATCAATATAGATAAATCAAGGTAATGCTTAATTTTAGATGATAATGTTTTAGAAATCACAACTAATGAATCATATTTAGTATTATATACAATAGGAACTTTTATTAAATATAAAGAAAAAGAGATAAGAATTGGAAGAATTATAGTAATAGTTTTAATCTCAAGCGGTATTAAATTAAAATTTTAACTCTTTTATTATGACTCTGAATTGCTGGGAATTTTTGCAAGTTCAACAAGGATAGAACAATCTCAGAATGGAGAATTAAAACATCATCCCTGATTGATTTACATAATATTATTAGACCAGTTTCAGTCTAGTTTTAAGACATTCTGAAATTAACGAATTGTTATTAATTTTATGTTAAGGAGATCTTATATAGTCATGAAGGTCAATAGAGAATGAAAGATATCAAATTTCAGCATCGACATCCAGTTGAGTACATTCAAATTTCAAACTTGGCTCCTTGAGATATCTCTATAAAAAATTTACATACTGTCACTGGATTCGTTTTCGTTTATCTTAACGTCTAAGCTAAAAGGCTGCGGCAGCTGATTCTACACATTGGAGTTTTCGACCTTAGGATTTTCTCTAAGTCCTACAGGTATCCGTTATACTTGAATCAACTCGGCAATTTATCACGTCTTAGAATTTAAGATATGTTAGTCGAACTCGTAATGACAAACTTAATAGCAAGTTAGTGTAGTATATCACAGCAATCCTAGGTGAAGGACAACGTTGAAGGAAAAAGTAATTTGTATGGATTTAAATTGATTCCTTTATTTATAACTTGAAACTCGCAGAAGAGTTAATAAACTTACAACTGAATTAATTTACAACTTAAGCAAAAAGCTATTCTATTTATACAAAATGAATTTGCTATAGCTAACTACTTGCTATGCTATAAATTAACTAAATATAGATATATGTTTTAATAAAAATATACTTAAACATAATAAAATAATAAAAATAATATAATTATAAAAATAATAAAAAGAAATAAAATAAATTACAGATGTTAAGAAATTTACAGGTAAAACAGAATAAACAGGCTGTATAAAAAATACAGAAGAAATAGGTAAAATAGAAATTACTGTTAATCACTATTTAGCACAATAGTAAATCATCTAACGTGAGATCATCATTAATTGACAAATCTCATGTAATATTTTAGAGCTGTAATTTCTTCTGTTAATATTATATATAATAGCTAGAAGAAAAGATAAGATATTTATAATTAAAGATTAATGATTTTAAGCTTTAAATTATTCATAAAGATATTTTTCTTGCAAAAACTGAGAATAAATTTTTTATAAAATCAGAAGTTCATTAATCAAGATAAGAAAGAAATATAGATATTTCAATCAAAAATGAAGAAATTAAAATATGATATTTTTTTAATATAAAAGAAATTAACAAAAATGGATTTTTTTTAAACATGAATTAAAAAAAAAGTAATATTATTAATAGTCTTTAAAACTATATTAGTATCACCTATCACTATATCAGAAACTAACAAACTTTAGCTAATAATAATAATAATAATAATACTAATCATATACTTCGTATAATCTATTTTCTTTAATTTATATTTTTTTATATTATCTCTTAATGAAGAAAATTTTTTTCAAAATATATAATATCTTTTAATAAAAATCAAAAATATTAATTTTTAATCTACTATACAAAAATTCAAAGATAACTATAAAATTTTATTTTTTAAATATGGATGAAGTTACAAAATATGAATCATCCTAAAATATTAGTTGCTACAGAATATGTTATTATAGCAAATAATACAACAATATCACAAATAATTTTATCTTTACTTTAAAAATATCAAATTTCTTTTGATGATGTATTACTTTTTATTACTGATAATGTTAGTTATATGGTCAAAACATTTAAAAATTTATCACCAATTATGCTACAAATGAAACACAACAATTGTTTTGCACATATTATGAATTTAGTTAAAGAATGTTAGATAGATTTTTTTTTCAACTTCTTGATACTATTACTTCAAATATTAAAAGTAATTTTATTCATAGTTCAGCAAGAAAAAGAAGATGGATTAGCTATCTATCTACAAATGCTGTTAATAATCCTTATTTACCTCCCTTTTTTGAAATTCCAGTAGAAAATTCTAATCCTAATATTACCTTACTACCATTACTAGTAAAAACACGTTGGTATAGTTGGTTTAGATTTGTATTTTGGCTTAATGATTATATTTCATATATTATACCATTTTTTATTGAAGAAGAAAAATTGGATAATAATAGTAAAGCAGTTTTTGATTTAGCAAAGACATTTTAAGATTGGATAGCAGTTTTTAATTTTGAAATTATGGCTTTTTTTATTAAATTTAATGCAAACCGGTAAATGAATTTTTAAATCAATTATTAAATTGTATAACATTAAATTAAATTATTAATTAACTTTATTTTATTTAGTTTTGTTTTTGATTTGGAATTTTTTAAAATTAGAAATAAACCTTTAGCAGCTTTTGTTGCCAATTGTGTGAACCAAACTCAAGCTGCATTAGAATATGATGCAAATGATCTGCTAATTTCGTCAGAAATAATTACAGAATGTAATTATAATAATGTTGATTCTTTGGAATTTAAACCTCATTTTAAACAAGCATATCAAATTGCATTAAACAAATGGAATAAGCATATTTAACAT